GGGGGGAGGGGGAGGGGCGAGGGCGTGTGCGCGGCGGCGGGGGGGGGTCAACCTGGGACACAGCAAGGTGGGCCCGAGCTTGGTCCTGCACAAGGTTTAAATGCACAGCTGCTGCCAGTGAGGTGCCACGGTGCTTTTAGGACCGAGCAGGAACCTCGCCCAGCACATGGCTGACTCGGACCTCAGGGACCTGGAGGACAAAGAGCAGCAACTGGCAATTCCTCCTTTAAAGTACTACGGAGTGAAGAGGTGCTGTCGGTGAGCTGGCTCTGCCGTTCCCAGAAACGTGTGAGGATAACGTGTTTTGAGGATACGCGTAGGAGAAATGGCTGGCTGCCCTCACGCGCGGCAGCAGCTTCCCTCCAAAAACCTCTTGCCCCATTGTGCTCTGGGAGGGGGAAGTGGCTTAGTAAACACCAAGGGAAGAGGTTAGGCCTCGGGCTGTAATTGTCAAATGTGACCGTTTCAGACATTAGTACGTCAGGTTTTGGAGGACGGATCCCACGCTATTGCTGCCACCAGAGAGCCAGTGCTGAGGCCAGCAGGGATGCGGGAAGCTGAGGCCTCTTACAATTTAGGTGAGAGAGAAGGGTGCTGTGCACAGCTTTAAAAGTGATGATTTTTAAAAAAAAAAAAAAACAGTTTGGGCATTTGCAATTTAGCGACCGGCCGCTTCTTTGCAAACCATGGGTGGGTGGATAGAGATGGGGGGAGGCGACTCCAGCCCTGATTCTTAGAGAGCATCTTTTCCCTCCGCCCACGTTTGACCGCGTGATGGCCTGGAGATGTCGCCGAGCCATGTTAAGTGGCACACTTTTCAAATGGATTTATCCAGCACTGTGAACCCAAGCGTGCAAACTGAGTAAGGAAACAGCCAGACCTTGAACTAGCGCAACGTGCCGAGAAGCGGACCGCAAGATCTGCAGCGCAATAAGATATATTAATATTAATGTTATTTTGGGGATGATGAATTAATAGCGTTAATAGGATGAAGAAGAAACATATGATTATTGCTCCTATGCGCGTTTTCCTGCCTGGTTCTCCAGGCTCACAGCCTTGCACTGCACACATCTCAGCTCTCTCATGGGCAGGATGGGCCCCAGCCATTTCTCACCCCCTTCCCAGCCCCCCCCCTTTTGCAGGGCTGGTCCAGGCCCTGCCTAAGCCCTAGAAGCTGCAGGGCTGTTTGAATTTTCGGTAGTAGCAGTCCCCGCTCCAGAGGCATCTTCCCTGCAGTGGTAGCGACGTGTCCCAGCTGACCTCTGCTGTGATGCTGCATCCTCTGTGCTCTGCTGGGCAGAGGACTCCTGATTCGGTCTTGGATTCGGGGAAAGTAGCGAAATCTCTAGACTGCAGCTTAGAGATCTCAGGTCTCATTACAATTTCTGCAGGGGGAGACATCTCCTTCTCAACAGGTTTTGCTGAAAAATTCCTAACGCTGCCTTTCGGAGGGGTCTGTTGCCCTCGGAGAGCTGTCTCCCTTCCAGCCCACGTGAGCACCTCTGAAGAGCGTAACCCAACGAGCCAAATGTCATGTTACCACTCGGCTGAACCTGGAGCAGCTACACACAGAGTTAATCCAGCCCCCCTTGAGCATATTCTGATTTTTCAGACCGGCTTTTGCTTCTCATTTAATCTCTGCTTAGATTGATGCTAGCAGAGACTTGTTCTCATGTGGTTGTCAGAGAAAACCCCCCTGCACGCGAGCAGACTCCTTCCCCGTGTCCTGGCGAGGACAGACACGCACCAGGTGATTACTGTTCGGTGGTGCATGGAGAACCGTTTTGGCAGGTGCTTTCTCCCTCGGGACACTTGGGTGCCCTACCAAATTTCCCCGTAACTCTTGTGGGACATTGTGATTTACTTAAATCCTCAGCTCTTGGAGGCATCTGATTAGCCAAGACTCTTAGCTTAACTGGGTTTTTGAAAGATATGTTTGCCTCCAGAGTGTGAGTAAAGTATGAGAACAAAAGCAAAAACATAAAGCCTCTTAAGAAGACATTTGCAAAAAATTGTGTTGCTTTTTACAGACGGTTTCAAAGTATGGGGAGGTGGGCCCAAGAAATGAAAATGTGGATGATAGGTCCAGTTTACCCTACCTTCTAGTCACAGGCGTTTGCTGCATGGGGCACTGTATTTGGGTGCCAAGTGAGTTTTTGTGTTGAGGGATGAGTACGAGGCTCTCCTGACCTGTGAAAGGAGAGTTTGTTCCTCCCTCAGAGAATTCACCAGGGGCTAAACTGACTGTGTGAAACTCTGCAGCTGTGTTTCCAGCTTATCAGAGGGGAATCTTGGGGGATGCATTAAACAGCCTGGTGGGACCAGAGCTTCCCCTTGGGATCCCCCCAAGCTCTGTCATGCTGGAGCTTCATCAGAGGTCAGGGAAATAGCCAGCTCACTGTCAGAATGGGGACAGAGAATTATCTTCATTATAATTATCTGTTGTTAAGATAATACTAACAAGATGAGACTATTTAGTTGTTAAAAGACAGAAAACAGAAAAAAATGGCCACTACCTGGAAAGGATATTGTAGCTTTCTCTATTGCTCCTGTTTCAGCCTGAGCCGCACACCCACCTCAGTGACTTTGGCGTCACAGAAGTCCCCGCTGATGGCTATGGGGCAGGCTCATGAATAGGCAAAAGCTGTGTAAGGCTTTCAACCACTAATAAAAATCACCCCTCAAAAGCAGGTCTATGGAATTATGTCACCTCCACTGTTTCATGCTACCTCCTTGCTACACGTTACCTCGGTAGTGATATGCCACCACGGCACATCGTTAGTAAGACAGAACAACAACGGATGCTTTTAGCAATGTTTACAGCGTTCTGGAGGGGATGGACTGCCCTGTCCCCATGGTAATACCCACCCTGAGCTGAGGTCAGTGCTAGCCCAGCATTTCTGGAGATTCGAGGGAAATTTATGGATCAGATAAAGCTGTTTGCCACGCCTGGCTGTACTTTTGACAACCACTGTTAGATCATTCCATGGCTTTTGGCCAGCTAGTAGCCAGGTATAAGTAACTTAATAAGGGTCAGCCAGCAGCTTCATGTGTAAGTGTTAGCTATTTCACAAATTGGTGGTGGAATTCCACTGAAAAGTCTTTTACCCCAGTCCGTGGCATTATATATACTTTGTGCTGCTCGTTAGAAGGCTTTGCCCTGGGCTGGCAAGACAGAATTGATTTTGAGAGCACGCTCCATGAAATAAATAGAGAAGCTGTACTATGTGAAATCACAGCATTCGATCAGATCCCGGGAGCAGTCTTGCTGACCACGTTGGTGTTGGCCCATGGCTCACTCCCTCCGAGATCCTTCTGGGGCATTTGCTAGGCTTGCTATAATCACTATCATTCCCCGCAAAAAATAATGTGGAGGGTAGCAAGCGGATGTGTGGTTGGTGCAGTGATAACTCAAAGTCTCTGCTTAACGTCTGTTGCCATCCAGTGGCAACGATAAAAATGGGCAGTCGCTTCCTACTTCCATTTCACTCGACATATAACTATCATATTTTGAAGGAGTGGAGCTATTCCTGTGCCCTTGACCACTAAGCAGCCTTGCTTGCTTTTATGCAAGATCAGAGAGACCAGATTGCTCATTGTGACACGTTTTGCTTTGGCCGGAGCGGCATGGCCACTGCCTACACGAGTGTTACCAATTTCTCCTGGGGAGGAAAAAGGGGAGGGCCAGGCTATAGCAAGATATTTGCTGCTTGGCTGTCATTGCCCCCATGCCTCTCCCTCCATCTCCTCCCTAAGGTTGACACAACCCTTACGCTCGAGCCTCTTGGGCTGTGGCTCTGCAGGAAGGAGGTTGCCAACTCTGTGTTGTTTTGGTTTCCTTTTCCTTGTCCTTTTCCTTGTCCTTAAATTCAACCACATAGAAAGAAGATTAGTGATGCATGTTTTCCAGTAGCTATAACAAGGAATGTGGATTTTTAGGTGTGTTCTTAAAATTTTTAGGCATGTCTTGCAACAGCTCAGATTTTCACAAACTATGGCTTGTAATACAACTACAGCCTCCACCATCTGGTACAGCCTGCACAGCGTTGTGACCTTGCACAGCTCTGGTGATGTCCAGGAAACCACCTGGGCTTGCACATGGGCCAGGCATGTAGGAAAGGTCAGAAAAGACCCCCACTCCTGGGGCAGTTCTTCATTTCACCCTGGGCAGTTGCAAGAAGCCTGAAGGAAGCCTGGCCCAAGGCGGGCTGGGAAGGTGCGTTTTGGCTGAGCAATTTCCCATCTTTGCTGCCAAGCCTGGAGGTGGCTCTGTGTTCAGGCCAAGCAGGCCTGGCTTACTGTGGGCTGGTGTCTCCTGGGGGAAGCTTTTCTTGAAGCCAGGGCATCGCATCCCTTGTTTTGGGAGTGCTTAGTAAGCACTAAGCTCACTCTCCAGTCTCTCCTGCAATGAAAATATTAGGAGAATCTTTCCGCTTGATCCATTTAGCGAAATACGTAGCAGCATGCTACCTTTCAGATCAAATGTCTGAGACTAGATTAAAAAAAAAAAAAAAAAAGATGTAGTTATTCATAGCTAAGTTCCCAGAAACTCTCCAGCATGAGCAAACCCTGTCCATTTATAGGACTGTTTTTGCAACCCGCTTTGCACTGACACTTAATATTTTGTTTGCTTCTTGTTTTCATTTCGATTCTTGCAGACCACCTTCTGTGGTTAGCCAGGCCTGTATGCATGAAGCTTGCTGTGGGCATCTGTTGTAGATGCTTGGGCTGAGAAACACTGTGGGGGATGTCTTGCATCTCTCTATCAGCTATCTGCAGATTCATCTGCAACGTGAAGGAAGAGGATGACAGTGTGGGTCTCTGCTGGAAATGTTGCAGCCCTGAGAATTGTTTGACTAGGTTCATTGGTTATTTTTGAACCTAGAAGTGCAACCAAAGTTAAATATACATGTGCGGAAACTCTCGCTAGTCTCTGAATCTTCCCCAAGACCCTCTTCTGCACTGTCCTGGCAGTGGCTTGTGGTGACAAGTTGGTGGTAAGTTACTGGCCTTGGACAACAGTTCTCCCTCTCTGTGGCTTCTGCATGAGGCTTTTAGTTGCAAAATGCTCATGAAATGTATCTGTGGTGTTGCTTGTATCTGCTATTGTCACCTCAGTAGTAAGTTTTACCTCTGGAGTTATCACATTAACTAACTTGTGCGGGTATCATAATCCTCTGTGTTTACCTTCCTCTTTTCTTTATTTTATGGTAAAATTCTGGATAGGAAAAGGCAAACCCAGCCCTGGTTCTGTGCAGTTGTGCTGTCAGTCACACGCTAGATGGCACAACCAGCAGTACCCAGACTCCAAGCAGGGTTTCCAGCCAGGAAATGCAGTCAAATAAAATTCATCATATACGACGTTTTGTTCTGCAACATGGTCTTATGGCACTCTGCTATGAAGTATCCCCATTTGTCTGCCCTCTGACAGGTCTTTTTAAACGCTTAGTCTGCTTATTGCCATGGAATAATGTCCTTACTGCATGCTCTTCATGGCTGCTCCGGCTCTAAATATGCATGAGGGGCGTTGAGGCATGTGGCCACCCACGTCTATGTGGTAGCACAGTGTCCCCTAGGC